CTACTCACGATTAACGACCGGAGTGATCGTTCGCCCGTCTGGTAGTATTCAGCTGTACTATTAGTACTCGTCGCCAAATACAGCTTGAGGAGCCGACCAAGTGCATAAATTAAACCGTTGAATGAACCCATACAGACGGGGATGAAATATTTTCTATGATGCTAACGTAATCACAAGCGTTCTTCATTCTAACACACTTTCAATCAAACAGAAGCGATTTAGGAACTCACTTCCAAATTGGAAATCCCTTGCTTGGTAATCAGTTGACAGTCGTACAGGTCTAACCGCTGCAAACGACGACAATTGCTGCCCAAATGTTCCAGTGCGGTGTCAGTGAGTAGGGGACAATTATCCATGGCTAACTCTTGCAAATGATCGTGACCACACAGACTCTCTGCCAAACGTGCGATTCCTTCGTCAGTAATTTGATCACAATGGGACAGGATCAAATTGTTTAGTTGGGGACAATGTACAGCCAACTGAGCCAGGGTGGTGTCCGTTACCAGACCACAGTCTTCCAGATCCAGTTTTTCTAACTGCATATCAACGGATTTCATGAGGTTGGAAGAAAAACAAACCCAGAATTAAATAAATGCTGTTCACCAGGAAAACAAGGTGGCGAATCAAATTAGAGAATTCACACAAACTCAGAAAAACTGGTAGGACTGGTAAGTGTAGCACATATTACAATTAATCTGTGGATAAATGCGAACGAACGCACTCGTAAATAGGGGTTTCGGACCAATCAAGCAGATGAATAGCAAAGAGTAGTTAAGGAATATCTATGTCAAAGATTACTAAAACTGTTTATACTGATAGCTGTATATTGTGTAAATATGGTCTGTCAGTTAGCGTAGGTCACCGACATGCAGACAGATGTTCTCAACAGGATAAGATCCATGGAGGTGATTGAAGTTCGCGATTAAACATAAATAAGCTTAGGGATCGACTCTGCTACTGATTAACTATACACCATTCGGTCTGAAAACCGTATCCCTGCATCCTGGGGTGCATCAATGAGCAGTTCAACTTTCAAGAATAAATCAAGTAAGTTAAATTCCGATCTCCGAAAAGTTTAGTTTCCGTGATACTCTGCCGCCTGACGCCCATTAGACAAACGAATAATTACGAACCGCAAGCAGGATTTCTACCGGGTTGCAGGTAAACTATTGAATGACTGTTTAGTTCCTGTTGTGACTCGTCAGCAGTGAGTATACAATATCTCTCTGTCGGCATTCGAACCGCAAAGCTTCGGATTTGGAGTGGAAAACCTCAACCCAGACGGGTTTCGATGAGTTAATTAGATTTTTTACAAGCACTGGGCACCGTGTGATGATTAACAAACGAATAGTTACTTGAAACCCACCCAACGATAACTGAAAATTGTGAGTAAAAGGCAATATGAAGGTAAATGAAGTGAGACATCCGTTTTAATTCGCGCTAGCCACAAGTCACACCTCACATAATTCGTGGTTAATCAAATCCATTGTGCACTTAGAAAGTCACAAACTTCAGTATCGTCCATATGGGAGCTCCTTACCCAACGATTATTATGAAAATATCAACAGATTTTGAGTTTGTCCAAAAATGGTAGTGTATGCTTATTCGCCGATAAGAAGCTCGAAACCTATGCAAAAACAGCAATAAATGCAATTCAAAAGGAATGTAGTTGGGCGGATTTCACTCACAAAAATCGTGTGTGAAAATATAATAGATATAATACACAAATGTCAGTGACAGGCTGTAAACGTTAGGAAAGCGATCACTACTCACCTTGTGGCAGACGCGGGCGATTGCGGTTAGCCCGATATCGGTCACGGCTGAGCAACGGGCAATTTCCAAAGTAGTCAAATTCACACAACCTACTGGCACAGCAGGCGAGGCAAAGGTGGTAGGGAGGGATTGACGCCTTCTAGGTCCGTCCAGATCAGATTCGATAGTGTCACCATGGGCCCCCGCAGCCCCGGCAACTTCGTCCTCAATCTGAACTGAACGACGTCCGTTACCAGGAGCGAGTGGGACCGGTACTCGAAGGACTAGGGCATTCCCATTCGATTGTTGTCCAGAATGACCGTTCTGACCTAGGATGGAAGCTGCTGCTGCTGGAGATAGAGTGCCCGCCAGTGCACGTAAACCCATGTCAGTGATGGCGCAGNGCAGTGTGATACGGCAAGAACACGGAGATCTGGACAACCCGTAGCAAGATAGACCATAGCTTCGTCCGTGATACCCTGGTAAATGAAGATGGGGTAGAACCGCAGCGGAAAACTAGCTTAATCATTATGATAGCTTCACATACTTGCCAAAGTCCAGAGTAACGGTGGAAGAAATAAAACATCTTTGTATCAAACAAATCCACGATTTTTTCGGCTTTCCCAAATCAGAGAAAATGATTTTCTAATAAGTTTCCGGGACAAGGCACAAATAGCAGGCAAGTGTAATGCAGAAGTATGAAAGATCGCGCAACCCTGTCCAGTTGTGATCATCTGATGTCAATCCGCACATTTGAAGAGGAAACAAATCAGATCTAAATAATACGCAATTCGAACGGAGGATGAATTCCAAAGGGTCAGTGTGAAGTTGTACCTGAACCAAACAGGAGACTGAACGAATTGCGACCAAACTTTACGCACTGTTCCGTTTCGCAAGCACCTTATTCAAAGATTTTTGGTTCGAGGAGTAGGGATGATGTCAAATGCAAAAAAAGAAAATACTGGAATGTACAGAATTAATCGAGTTGAGTGTCACGAAGCAAATCTGCTATAAGTGCACGTTGATGCTCGACCCTCAGATGAAGAAATAATAATAATAATAATACTAATAATAATAATAATAATAATAATAATAATTCGACACTGTGTTGAACACAGGAAACATGAGTGACCTTGTTCGAATGAGCATCCCGACTATTGACGCTCACAGTAAACACTGATCAAGTTCAAAAAGAGACTCATCAAAAAACAGCATTCAAATAAAAAAATGAGAAAGCACCCAACTGGATTTCATGTGGACAAGTGACCCAATTCAATGCGCTTAGTGATAACTTTGAACTTTCGATACAATAAAAACTAAAAACATAGTTACTTGACAGATACGGTCAGAAAGATCGACAGCGAACAGACAGTAGAAAGACTACGCTTCTGAAGAATCGTCTCCGCACTGAATCGATCTGTCAACAAAACGATGGAGTGTCAGCAGAACGGAAACAATGAAAATGAAAAATACCGTTCAAGTGCACTAATCTAAAGTGCCGGTCCATTTCTTCCTAGTGACAAAGCAACCGAAAAATCGCGTGGTACAAACATCACGGTTCAATCATATTGCTACTTTGCACCACGTGTTGGNNTGTTGGCATGTAATAAAACAATGTGTTAAAAGGTGAACACGGTATTAAGGGTTTCGTCTGTCGGAAGTGGTGTAACAAATGGACCACGTGCAAGTGATTCGGGATAGCACTGTGTCTACTGATAAAGGATACGAGGCTGAACGAATAGGCACACAGGGCACTCCGTTCGTCAAACAGAACTGCTAGTATTTCCAAGCAGAACAGCACCGCAGTGATGGTCAATTTTTATTAACCACCTAGCGTGAACTGTTTGGGCAAGTTCATTGCCGCTGTAACAAAACGATGGTAATAGTTGCACCACATGATCTTCCACATTCAACATCGATGCTCGAATTCACTTCAGTCCAGTTCTTACAAACATTAACCATGCACTTTCGCGCGCTGGTAGTGGTTTCCCATTTGGATAAAAGAGCAGAATGAAGATAACCATGTTAAAAGTAAATTCAAACAGAAGAGAATTTATATAGACTGATGTTACAAGAATAATGAGTACATGCATGAGCGCCACTGTTTGCGACACCCAGCCATATCACTCAGTGTCTCTCACCATCGGTGACTATGATCTAGGGGTCACCAGCCAGGGAGCTTAACGGAACCAATGCGACTTAGTCCCTTGGTTAGGGTTATCAAACTCTCATGCAAGGTCTTAGTTTGATCGCCCTTGACCTTTTCCCAACCGCTGTCTGCCTCGGCAAACATCGCTAGCCGTGGCAATCTATCTGTGACATGCGTAACACATGCCCCAACTAGCGTAATTTATGGCGGTTGACTACTTGCTCCAATAGGTGACCACGGTTACCTAAAACGCTACGCCTAACCTCAGCATTGCTCCTTTGGTTACCCCACCAGACTCGTGCAACGCAACATAGAAAGCGGTGTTCGCACACCGCTATTTTATCCTTTTCCCGTAATTGCTAAATCTATGCATCGTAAAGCACGACTGGCCGAATTGCTGCAACATACACTCGACTCTTCACAGACAGCCGGATGTCGCGACGGCGCCACAAATGTTTCAAGTTGGCAAATGGCAACCGAGCCTTCTGGGTGCGCGACGACACTTCTTTTATTATGCACCTGTGTGATGAACAGCAGATGGGTCGAACCCTATAGTCACGCGGACCTGCTGTTCAGTCTTGCAAACTGGCAACTTAAGCCCCGAAACTTGGAGTGGTGAACCACATAAGTCCCCGACAAGTTAGGCTTGGTATTGCACCGAACGACAGCAGGACTGCCTACCACTAAAGTCGGGTGGCAGTAGCGGGGTTTGAACCTCGGACTATAGGGCCCAAAGAGCGCCGACAGTTCCTCTGCGATGCGTCCACCCGGTGAGATTTAAGTGCGCTGAAAGCAAAATTTGTCAACTTCCTTTATCACTTTCACAGTCAGGGTGAGGTTGTGGGCTGGACACACCGAACCTTGGAGCAACAACCTACACTTTGAAGGTACAAAACGCATACCGAACATGGCGACACTGGCACTCAACTAGCCAGAACTGCCGGTTTTCATCTTAGAGCAGCAGATGCCACTGATTGTGCAGCGTTGTCCCTATTACCAATTGCCACAAATGTATCTGCACGAAAAAGTACGGTTTAAAAAGAAACCATACACCCAAACAGAAGGATCACAAATGTACATCACTCCTCATGGCTCATGTGGGTCGGTTACCCATGGTCGCCTTTGTTTCTCCCTCTATTGTCTCATAGCACGTAGCGTAGCGGTCGACCGAACCAGAACGGCTTGATGCGAAAACCAGATGCCAGCCTATCTGGTCCCAACATAACATTAGGGTATGAAAACCCTGTGAGACTAGGTCACATAAGCCCCATTAGGTCGCCTAGCTGGGGACCCGAGATCATGGTTACCGATAGTTAGAGACATTGAACGATATGGCTGGGTGTAGCAAACAGTAGCACAAATGCATCTCATTATTCTCGTAACACCGGTCCAAATGAATTCCCTATCTTCTGCTTGAACTGAATTTCAACACTTCAATCTTAATCCTTCTCTTTATCCAAATTGACGGCCAAAACCCAGCAATGAAGAAAGTGCATGGTTTATGGTTGTAAAAACTGAGCTGAACTGAACATCCAACCGTTCATTCAGTAAGACGTTGAACAGAATAACTCAGTGTCAAAGTGCTCGACTGTTTGTAGCAGTTGAAAAATATAAAAACTCTAGACGACGATAGTGCCAATGGTACGAAAGGTAACAGCATAAAAAGTCGGAAAAGGATCCGTTGATGAAAATGCCAACTCGTCCATCGTGTGCTAACAATCTGGATGGTTGCATGCAATCCAAATTAGGGAGGAAACACAAACAGGGCTGGTTAGATCTGCCATTCCTGATCTCATGAAAACACACGCGTTACCGGAGAGAAAGATGAAAGTTGCAGGCAACAAACACGCTACCGATGGAATCGCATTAACTAGTGGATTTTTGCTGTGCTCGATCAAACAGAACGAATTGTGTGGGATCCCCGTATGGGACAAAAAGCGGATGAGGGAAAGTAGAGTACCGTTTTGATAACCGAATGAATGCAGACAAGCTGTAGAATGATATTCGTGCAATCTATCGTAGAACAAACACAGCATCGTATCGGGAATCACAGAGATGCTCGATTTCATGTATAACGCAGAGCCTAGACAATAACACTGAAGTGGATACGGCTGATAATTCAGTCGCATATTTATTCAAAACATCAGGAATAATGCATGAATAGACGAGTCGGTTCTGCATGAAAGCATGCACGCTGTGGAACAGAGACCACGATCAACCGGTGGTAGTCATGTTGCAATCGAAACGGGACGGCTAGACCAAACAGTAACCCAGTGGCCACGAAGACCAAGTCTTGTGAGATTTTGTATACAAACATGCATACATACATGCACATACAAAATGCGGATTGCAATCACAATGAATCGGGCATGCGATGAAGAGGAGGAACAGGGCTGAACATGACAGACATGAAAACGAGAAAAGGAAGATTTCAGTTTCACTGTTTACAACCATTCGATTTCATGCACCAGTTTGGTTGCTGTCTTAAGGCTACCCATTGGCTTAAAAAAGAGGGATAGTTGGAATGTTGAAAGCAACGTAAAGAAGAATATAGAGAATTCAAATAGACTGGAATTTCAAGGAAAATGCGCAGATGCACGAGTGACCGTTCGCAACAGTTACTCTGAACTCGGTGTCTCCATCTATGAAGCCCGAATGGACCAAGCATTCCGGTTAGGATTTTCATACTCTCACGCAAAATGTTACTTTGATCACTTCCTGCCGCGGCGACTCATTTGGTGACATGTACAGCACATACCCATACCAATGCATCCATCAGTTCAGTTCAGTTTAAACAACCATTACGATTTATTTCGGTGCGACGCTTATGGTTTCTGTCTATTGGCTGCCTATTTGGGTGAACAACAGGAGGAAAACAAGATGGTTTGAAGTATGATCACGGAGATAATTGAGAAATTCAGTGGACTAATGATGCAGAGAAATTGAGAAGATGCACGAACGCCATTGTTTACGACACCCAGCCACATCACTTTGTCTGTAACCATCGGTTATGATCATCCCGAGGTCCAAAGGAAGCATAACGGGACCTATGTTCATGTTCATCCAAATGGACAGCCAAAAGACGGCAACCAATATCGGTGCACCATCGTGCATGGTTAATGGTTGTAGAAACTGAACTGGCCTGAACTATGTGACCCAGACTCCTCGTTAGGGTTTTTATACGCACCTGCCAGGTCTAAGCTTGACCACCCTTGGCTTTCTTCCACCCAAGGCCTAC